AAACCCTAGCAAGTTGGAGGCTAAAGAGGAGAGAGTAGGAGGAAGGATATTTTCGGTTTTCTCTCTTAGAAAAGGGATAGCCGAAAATCATAACCCTTAAGAGGGTTTATATAGGTGACTAGGGATGCTATAGATAATGAAGTTTCCTTGGATAAGCCTTATTCCCTTTTCTTGCTGCCTAGGGATTCCTAGGCTTCCTTAATGCCCAAGAAAAGAACCCTTAACCATCTAGAATTCGCCCCCCTCCTATGGGAGATTCTAGAATGGGTCAATGTTCAACTTTTAAACATTGTCGCCTTTAGTCCTTCCTCTTTTAATTAATCTCATTAATCCCAAAATTAATTCCAATATATTTCTGATTAATTCTTAATTAAATAATATTATTTCTAATTAATATATTATTCTCATAATATATTAATAAATTATTTATTTTGATTTATAATTAATTTACTAATCATATTAATCATATAATAAATTAATAAATCAGTCTCTCTCTCCAAATATCATTCAAATCCATTACTAGGTTTGAGGGCAACCCACAAAGACTTTGCTAATAATTCAAGATTATACTAATTTAGTTATTGGCTTAGACACCTAATCCAACAAAAGGTTACAAAGATTGTATCCTTTTAACTCGTTTGTTACAAAGGCCGATTCTTGCTTTTCTCTTGTCCTTAGTGAACATGAAGCTTGGAATCAATCTGCAAAATTTCAACCATTTTCTCTCTTTTGTTATTATGAATTGTGTTTTAGTTTGATAGATTTGATCTAGTTTGCTCATTCTTTTATAGATAGTGTTGAGGGACAGATTTCTCGGAAAAAGGAGGTTCATTTATGGCCTTTCAATTCAAAATATTTGATAAATCGTGTCTTTATCTTGTTTTTGAAAAAGCTGCACAAATATCACTTTTAGAATATTTCCTTATTTGACTAACTCTTTTGTTTTTATTCATATATTATTTATTATTTTGTCTTGTACCATTTTAAATAATTTGACGATGGCATTTCGTAAGCCTAGTATGTAACTTTTGACAAATCATTGTCCCTAGAAGCATGGTGTTGTATGTGCCTAAATGTCTCTAAGTATCTCATCAGCGAGACCATATGTTGAGATAACATTGAGTCACCCGCTCACGTTGATTGTCTAGCATCGTCTAATCTTTCAAAGTGAGATTGTGTGTTTATTTTCTTGTTTAATCGTCTCTTACTTGACTCTGGTCTCTCGGAGCATGCTCGCCGTATGCATCAAATCTCATGTTTTGCTGAAACATCAAGCATAACCCAGTGACTTACCTTTATTGCATAGTCATCAGCGTAAGAGTTACTTGTTTGGTCCTTAAATGACAAAGGGTTATTCATGTCCTTGACCTCCTAGACCGAGGTTTGACATGGTACCATCACGAATTGACGGTGAATCTATGATTATAGACTGCAACTAACTCTATGATGCAAGGATTAAACCACTACTTGCTGATGGGTTATCACTGTCAATGACTCATGTTGATTTCACCTCAGCGTGATTGAGACATCCTACTTCTCTCCCACAATTCTTCTAATATGAATATATAATAAATATTATTTTGTTATAAAATTCATTGATATGGTTGTTTCACATAAACACATCATAACCATTAAAATATATTTATATTTAATTGTATAAGTTAATTACCAAAAATATGAATATAATTTATTTATTTTAAAATGACATTTAAGTCAATTTGTTAAAATCTCAAAAACTATGAAAATAGATTTTTCTTAAAAATTAAAAGGTCCTAAAAATTACATGTCAAACACACCCGATGTCTAGATTTGGGTTATCTGGCTTAATGATGTTGGATTTCACGTTCAAAACGGGCTTATACAAATTTGCTTGGCTAGCTTTGTGCTAGTCTTTCTCAATAAAATCTTATTGCCTTTAAAACCAATTCAATCATAATGGTTTCAATATCCTGCTTTAGTGGGCCTTATGATATTGATATGTTAAGACAGTCTCAACCTCAAGAAAAGACTTAGAAAGTTGAAAATTAATTCCTAATTCAAACAATGCACAAGGCAAATTGTGTTTATTTTTTCTTCTCCTTAGTTAACCAAAATGTTTATCTTTTCTTCTTCCCCAGTAAACAAAAAATCATAGGCAAAACTTTTGTATACATAATACATGGTGATAACAGAGAAAATATGACCTGGACATCCTAATTGAGCTATTAAATAGCTCTTCTCATTTGTTCAAATAAAAAACTTGCCAATAATAGAACCTAAATGGTTAAACAAATAATACAATATGACATTCAACGTAAGAATGAAATAGGAAAATTTAAGACACCAAATATTTCAACCATCATGATCATAAAATCAGGGATAACATACATGAAATGTAGAGACTGAATTTAATGATAGCAAATATATTGTAAAAGTGAAAGATTGGTCGGATTATATGAAAAAAATCGAGCATGCTAAACGTGAATAAATTCACTTGTAAACTAATTCAGCAAATCAAATCTCAAGAACTCAATTCAAGCTTGATAAACCATCATTTAACCTAATTGGAGATTGGTAAGACTGTTACCTAGTTATTCAAAGTTGTCCCTAAATGACTCTGACTTATCAACAAGTTTTATAACTACCATTATTACACTAGATGGTTACTATTTTAATATATTTAGTCTAATTTACAATTAATCAAATTATATTAAAGCTATACATTAATTTCCTTAATTTTTAAGATTGGTCTCTCAACATTCAAATTTTCTATTTAGCCTAAGTTGACCTTCTATGTAACATTTCAAGTCCCTCCATATCTATTTAACCTTAGATGCTAAAATTCTTAACAAATAAAGTCTATATTCATTCTTTAATTCCAAATCTTAAAACTATTGAATTCAACTTTAACTTAATAAATTAATTCAAATTTTAATTTAATTATTTTACATTAACTAACTTGAAATTTAAAATATATAATTTAATTTTATTAATTTTTAGATAATTAATTTATTTTATAAGAAATTTCACTAAAAAGTTAAACGTGCCCCAAAATACTATGTATTACAAGATGGAAGACTCGAAATCTAAGATCCTAACTATTGAAGAATCCAAAGATAGAGGAAATGGTATCTACTTTTCGTTTCGATAACAACTCATGTGGAAGTTTCAAAGACTAATCTTTGAGGCGAGTTGCCATCATTTGAGAAATATATATTCATTTATAGATCTTTGGACAAAGTGGTAGATGTTTGGGTAATATGTTGGAAAACTTTTGTAACATGCGTAAATCAGGTTGGTTGCACTCTAAGCATGTCATTTCAATCTAGGGTGAGTATTTGGATCGAACCGGTCGTACTGGATCGGAACCGGTTCTTGGACCTGGTTTGGCAGAAGTAGGTGGATTGTGGACGCTAACTGGGTACATGTTCGAATCTAGGTTTTTTGGTTCTTGTACAGGTTGGACCGTCATAAGTTTAGTTGCATATGATACACGTCATTGAAGCCCTACCAAAGTTAGTTTTTGATGCTAAAGTTAGTTTATCTATTATGAGGCGTAAAATGAATACAATTTTGGATTTGAATGTTCGTTTTAGATTAAAAATACAATTTTCACATGTATGTTTATAACTAATACATTGTTAAATGCACAATGCTCACTTGGTTTACACGATGAGCAAGAACTAGATCAAATACATTGTTAAATGTCAGAAAATAAATTTTGCCAACAAAATCAACTATTAATTAATTTTCCTTCAAGATGTCGTCAATTTTGTCTATTATTTTGTAGACATTGTCACCCAATCTTGGGTGCATAACAAATCTTCAACTATCAACATGAAAAAGAAAAAGATGAAAATGATAAATAACTGAAAAATTTTCAGCTTTGATATCCCGATTTCGGGGGACTGTAACTCATAGAATATATAACTAAAAAGAATGAAATTAATGTCTAAACTGAAGTACAAACTCTAAGTTAAACGTTGGAAAATACCTCATGTAAATCCGACTTTAAACGAATGAGATATATATGTTTTAAAATTTTAGCAAATTACAAAAAGTTGTTGAAACGTTGAAAGGTTTGATCTTTTAAAATTCCGGTCCAAACCGGTTTTGTAACCGGAACCGGCTGGACCGAGAACTGACACTAATCTAATAAACCCGTCCAAGTCCGGTCCCAGTCCATGTCTAGTTCCTGGCACGGAGATCCAAATGCTCACCCTACTTCAGTGTGACATGGTGGTGGTGATATAAGTAGTTATGAATACAAAAATATTGAGTTATAAAAGGTGATCTCGCGAATGCTCTGTCATAAATTCATAATACCATAAATGAACAAAAACTAATAACCAAAAGAATAGATTTAAAAAAAAAATGTTCGTCGAGCTGCGAATTTTTTTTTCGAGTTGCAAACATTTTATTCTAGTTCGAGACTCATTTTAAACCTACATGCAACACTCTAGTTGAATGTATACTAAATTTAGCATGTTTTCATGTAGTATATCATGTTTGTTCATTAATTTAAGAAATAAGTTCATGGAGAACAAGTTCATCAAGTTGCAAACAAGTTCTTCAAGTTCGAAACTCATATTAAACTAAGATACAACTCTAGTTAGTTAGATACAAAATTTAGCATGCTTTTAAGTATTATATCGAGTTTATGCACCAATCCAAGATAGAAAAATCATGCAAAGATAAGTTTTGATACTGTTTTTCAAGTTCCAAAAGGACCAAAACAATGCAAAGTTTCTTAACTTAGTTTTATGACGAGTTGTGAGATTGTGAGATTCAAGGATTCGTGAATAGAACCAACTTGCAACAAACTAGAAAAATGTTTCGAGAAAGGTCGTATACCACCTTTTTTGTATTTTGCACCTCGGAATTTGACAACTTGTTACGTTAGTTGTAAATCGGACGATTATACAAAAAAAGTGGTCAAATTATTAAATGACACATCAAAATGTGATTATTTTTATGATTATCTCATCAAAAGAATTAGAAGATAATTTTCATCTTCTTTCTTCACCTCTTGTTTACAACCTTTTTAGTGTGCAATGTCTTCCATTTACAAAACATTAAAACTAACCATATCTCTTTCTATGAAGAAAGAAAAAAGTCTAAATGTATTCAAAACATTGATTCATAAAACAACATTGCATCTTCAATTGCATATATCCACACAACTCGCTATTGATTTCCCCTTTTCCATTATTACTCCATCGAGTTGCTCCATCTCCTGTTACAAATGTCGCCATAAGTAACAACATTATATACATAAACTCCGCTCTACAACAAAGACTTAGGTGTTGTTTGTTTTTTCTGAGGCAATATGTCTGCAGTCTGCGGACCACATCTGTAAACATCTGCAGTAGAAGAGGTGGACCAAACGTCTGCAGTCTGAAAAAAGAAGACTGTTTGTTTTTTTAACATATGCGGGCTACTAAAATAAACTGAAATCTAAAGAAACTGATTTTTTAAACTTCAAAGTATTTTTTTAATATTTTTATGACTTTGTTATAAATAATTAACAAATCTAGATCAACTTTTATGTATTATCGTATAAAAAGTAAAAATAAAAATAGTATGAATTAACGTATATATTTGATAAAAACCAACAAATTTGGTTGCAAAGTTATAACTAAACATTATAATTTAGAATCAAAGAATTTGATACATAAATGGATGGAAATAAACTTCGATTTTTTCAATTAAATCCATTAAAAACGTACTATAAATATTTTCTCGAGAAATTGACGATACTGTATTAAATAATGTTTTACAAAATTTGGCAAAAAAATATAAGAATTTATATTATGATTTTTTTTTTCATATTTATATAAACAACTTCAACGACTATTATTGTAATAAATATTTTTTTATAAATTTGTCAAAAATATCATGTTTGTATCGTCGAACGTTTTTTTTTTAAGTTTTGTAATTTTTTTTTCAAATTGTTTATCATTAATAAAGTTGGAAAAAATATTAATTAAAAAACACTTTAAAAAAATAAAGATATATATGTTTTTTTAGGCTAGAAGATATCTGAAAATGTTAAAAGACTCTGGTCCACATCTGCGCCAAGAAGAGGGCGCGCAGACATTTTTTTGGTATGCAGTCTTCAAAAAAACAAACAGTCTGCGAAGGCTAATGTTTGCGCGTGGTCTACACGACACAAACAGAAGAAGCCACGCAGTTTTGCAGACAAAAAACAAACACCACCTTAATAACATCAAAACCTACTTACAATAACTCACTATGGAAGACGAAATTTGATAAGATCTTTCTTCTTGAACCCTGGTTTGATCAATAAACTCATTGTATTGCCAACATTTTTTCTCGACTTTGCTCCAACCACCTTCATCTTCTTCCTCTTCCATGTCTTCTTTCCTCAACTCTATCCCTTCATTCCTTTGTACCCGACTCACCATTAACTCGTCTATCTTGTTCTTATGATCACTAGAAAGAAAACCCACAACGCATCTTCTGCAAAAACATATATAGACACTCTCAATATTGTATTTCTACTTTCCATAAATGAAAACGACAAGAAATTTTATTACCTTTCTAGAAGTTCTCGAAGATCTTGTTTGTAGGAGTAAAGGTAACGCATCTCATGGTACCTAGCCCTCCTCATACATTCCCAATAACTTTTTGGTCGCGCGATTTCGCTAATCCAATCATCAAATGGATCCATATCCCAAGATGATTCATCATAATCGTATTCTTCTTCTTCATCATCCCAATCACTCTGTGATTGAGAGTAATCACTAACACAATCATGATAGTTTTCTAATTGAATAGTATGATCTATCCCCTGAATCGAGTGAGATGAAGTATCAATTTCATGGGGTTTATCCATAATATTTTTAACCGGCGTTGTCAATTCTATGATTTTGCGATGATCCTTGGTTATCGATTTCAGTTTATGGGTTTTGGGTTCGGCGCCAGGTCTTATGAATCTAAATCGAAGCAAAGCCTGTAAACAGAAAAAGAAAACCATGTTCAGAAATCATAAACCATAACCAAAAAGAAATTTTTTTGATGAGTTTGTGAAATTAACAAACAAAAAAGGATCGATTGTTACTCGGATACGTCCTCGATATGAAAACTGTGAGACGGGTTTTCTCTGAGCTAGACATTCGAGTTCACGCTGTTTATCTTGTTCCATTCGATTGAGGAAATCGTTGAAAGCTAGGCGTCCTCGTATGAAACAGGGTTTTCCGGCGACCTTCTGGTGATCCCAAGTGTTACAAATCCGAGAAAAGAATTCATTTTTGTTTCCGGCGGTTGTGCTCGGTGGCGCACCCCTCTCGGAATTGTTGTTGCCACCGGAGGAACATTTTGGTTTTCTGTTAGTGTTCCTGGATTCAGCCAGGTCCTGAAATCTTCTACAGAGGGTCGAAACCCCACCTAAACTATCGGTTTCGACTGAGCAATTCGATTTAGAAGGAGAAACTTGTCCTTGAGAACTTGAAGATTCTGGTTTCTTATTCAATGGCTTCGCGTGCTGGATTTGTTCTTCACGAGAAGATACTGCTTCATGGTCTCGCTTCCAATGGTCTTCGTTCTTCAATTTCTTATGCTTGTTGTTGGTGATGATGGTTTCCTCGTTTTGATTTCCATTTGTCACAGTGTGGGTGGAGGGAAACCTTGAACAATTTGAATCATTCTCCATTTTCCGAGAACGAATTAAATTATTGGGTTTCGAGGGTATTGTTGAAGTGTTCTTCTTAACGTCTTCATTGTAGTTAGGAAGCCATGAATCATCATCATCTCCGCCGTTGACAATTAGGGTGGACGCCGACGGCAACCATGAATCATTTTCCGATTTCGCGGCGGCTGTTGAACCGATGTGATCAGGAAGCCATGAATAATCAAAATCGATTTCTCGATTGTGATGATGAGAATCAGAGGCGGAATTTTCGTTATCGTAGTTAGGAAGCCACGACAAATCAACATTGTTCTGGGTTTTCAAATTTTCAGATTCAAAATCCGAACAAGTATTGCTTGAATTGGTGGAGGCGATGCATGATTGAAGATAACCACTGTTGATTTTCTCATACCGAGTCGTGGTTTTGGGTTTTGATGGATGATTGAGCAAACACCAAGACGCCATTAACGTACCCATAACCCAATACCCACAACTACGTCTACGTCTTCACTCAAACAAAAAACCCCAACCCCATAAGATCAATTATCAATGCCTAAAATCAAAAACCCAAACTCAAAATCTACTAGAAATCTATCGTCTTGAGACAATTAAGAGAGATGAAAGGGTGGTGAAGAGGAAATTGGGAGGAAGAGGGGTTGATGGGATGGAAAGCATTCGAGGGTGGAATTAGGAATGCCGGAGGAGGGAAGAAGTGATGGAATTGAAATTTTGGAGAAGAATAGAGAGTATGGAGATGGGGTTTGTTTCCATTTGCAATCTTACTTTTTTAAAATACTACAACTATATAATGGTGGAATTTGTCGTTATCATAATTAAAATAATATAATTGTTTTATGACTAACTAGAAATGTATATGAAATTGTAGACATTGGACAACCTTGATTGTGAGATGATGAGAGGCTTTTGGAGAATCAGTCAAAAGCTAAAAGAGAAATGTTCAAAGTAAACTAAGTTGTAAAAGGGGAATAACATAACCATGACATACATTTTGGCAGCCAGTCTTCAAGAGTACTAGAGTATTTTTTTTTTTTTAAATTTTTTTTCTCATAAAGGCTTTTTAAGTATAAATATCAAAAGTTGGTTTATTTTTATAAAGAAAAAATTAAATATTTTTCTACTTTTCATTCCTATGATCCTATCTATTTAAAATTGGGGCAAATGTCCTAAAATATTATTGGGAAAATAAAACTAGACACTTCTTATAACTTTAAATGGGTAGGCAAGAAAAAATAGAAGGATATTTGATTTTTCTTTTACAAATTGAAGTCGTAATTTACGGTTTATAATGATATTTGAAAGAGAAAGAAAAGCGGGAGATTTTATGGATTCATACGAAGTCATTCATCGCTAGAATTTTTTCAGGACAATATCTCTTTTATTCTTAGTACTAAATTGTGTTGTATTTATTGTTATAGTAGAGATATGTCAGATGTTTAAAATGGGTATTGTTTTTTTATTATAGTGAAAAAATGGTGTACAAAAGGTTACATAACATTGTAAATTTTGTGCAATTTCGGAAACGGTATGAGAATAGTATCACAATTTGATTTTGTATCAAAGTTTTAATAATTTTGTTAACAAATGATGGTTGGTTTGTTGGTTTCGTGTGTGTATATATATATATATATATATATATATATATATATATATATATATATATATATATATATATATATATATATATATATATTGTAAAGTCTTATGCGAACTTTGTATTGGTTTAGGCATGCATTGATTTTGTTAAAACCATAACTAATTAAAGTTGTTACATCATGTAAAGCTATCACACATACATCCATGGTGATACTCATAAACATCTGTCAACATTGATGATAGCTTTACATGTACATGCAAATAGAGGGATGCATATTGTTGTTTGAAACATAATGTCCCAAGGACATCTCTCATCCTCCTGCATGAATCCTCACTTACGGGTTGCTAACTTACTTTATAGAATAATTAGAGAGATTTTATAAGAGATTTTAATCATCATTAAGTATCTTTCCACCTAGGCGTACTTGCAATTATAATCAGAAAGATCAATAAAAATTTCAAGTTCTTGGAAATTTATTTTAAAATATTTTAGTATAAAGATCTTGGAGTACTTCACCGTTTATATACTTTAAAGCTCACATGTATCCATTTCATAACCCGCAAAAAGTTTCATATTTGGGTTGCACTCTTGGAAAAGTATGTAAATGTTTTATTGTAAACTTGTGGGAAGTTGTCATAGAGAAAAAGTCTTTCAATGATTATCTTGATCATGGAATGCTCTTGAAATAGTTGATTTTGTTAAAAAGCTTTATAAAGAACTTTATCATGCTTAAGAAGATAAAAATGTTGACACACAAAAATACAAATCACTTGCTATAGTTCTTAAAAAATAAATATGAATTATGTAAACTTTATTATAATTTTGTTGAGTGTAAGCAAGGATTAGAAGAACTTTTTGAAAATAAGAAATCTCTAAAGAAACTAGTTGACGAAATCAAAAGATCAAATACTAAGCTTCTACTGGTTGAAGGAAAAGACGAAATGATAGCAGTGTTCGGTCAAGATGAAGAAAATCTGGTTCCATAAAGAGAAATAATAAGTATCATAAAATTGTATTGCTTCTATTACTAATGATTCTTTTGGTTTCTATGATTTCTTTTACACTCTGACTAATTTCTTATACACTCTCTGACTACATCTTTGAGTTCCACATTGTGTCTAGGGATGTCTTCTAATACCCTAGAAAGACATCCTTAATTAGTGGGAGTTGGTATTTCCACTTATAAAATTGACCCATCACAACATATTTGCGGTTATCGTACAAATTGGTGAAACATATATTTTATCTGTTATCACATGATTTTTCCAATTTGTCTTCTTCATTGGATCAACAAAGCAATAACAAGAAAACTAAAAAAATTATTGTCAGGACATGAAGTCTAATATATTTTTGTTGTAGAATTTTTATTTCCTAGATTATAAAATTGAATATTTGTTTGAAACTTATTTAATGAACTTTATGTCTGATTTTCCAACGATTGTAATGGAAGATTAGCTAATTTATAGATCATGATGCTTATGATGATGAAGATGAACTATTTCTTTAATTAACACGATTCGATACACAGAGTCTAACCAATTCTTAGTAATAAATCTGGACTCTTTAAGAATTGGTTGAAGTTATATATATTTATGTAGTATTTTCAAATTAATTTGTAAATAAATAAAAAAGTGAAACATTACATGTTATTTCTTATTATTTTAATGTGCAAAATTGAATATGATAGTACAAGACGGATGGATGTGGTACCATAATGCACCACACTTTTGGTTTGCCTCGTTGGCGCCACGTCATTTTCCCCACCCTCCTTCACCCCACAAACAAATAGGAAATGATACCACACCCACCATACTTTTGATTTGTTTTAATTAAATAACGTATTGATGCGACATAGAAGTGGACCACCTCTTTATTCTCCTCTCTTCTCTTGATGGAAGCTAGGGCGGAGAGATCTGCTAGTCACAATCAGAGAGATGCGTTAGAGCCGCCCCAGGGACTGTGCCCCGGGAGCGGACTCCAACGATCAAGTTAGATCAGCTGGATGGATGAGATGGTTCTCCATAGCTGGAGAGAACTATCTTGGTGCTAGGGGTAGTGTATGGTGGCTGACGGCGGAGGGTAGCGGCTGAGCCACCCGAAGAAGATCCCCCTCCATGGAGGAGATACTGTTCACTTTATAGGGAACAATTAGGTCAAGGGTAATTAGGTCAGGCCTTGGGCCAACCCAATTCAGGCACAGCTAGAAAGGAGCTGGACAAGACCGCCCGAAGGCGCCGGGCGGGGCTGATGGGCGCACCCCAAGGCTGGCGGGCGCGCACCAGGAAAGGCTGGCAGGGGAGCACCATGAAAGGGAGCGTCAGGACGGGCCGGCAGGAGAGTCCCAGGCAAGGCTGGCAAGGGAGTGTCAGACAAGGCTGGCAAGGAAGTCCCCAGCAAGGCTTGCAAGGGAGCGTCAGGCAAGGGAGTCCTCAACAAGGCTGGCAAGGGAGCGCCAGGCAAGGCCGGCGCACCAGAGCTGTCTAGGCCATACTAATGGACCATATATCATCAAGTTCCCCCAGTCCGATGTTATTGGTACGCGGCCAATGACATTGGTCTGGACTCAGTCATATAAACCATGTGTCATCAAGTCCCTCTAGTCTGATGTGATTGGATTACTGGCAATCGGATCGGACTAGACAAACAACCAATGCATCAAAGAATAAAAAGAATGACCGAACCTTACCCACGGGAGTCGTGGTGTTGCGCAATGAGCCAAGCATGGGTTGGCTTAATGATATTTCCTTGTTAGGAGTATGATCCAGTCGATGATGCGGCGTAGCTGTTGCTACCATTATGCTGAGCAAGGCTACTGATAATGTTATGCGGAGCGGGGCTGCTAAGCGACAATGATGTCGATAAGGCATCGGGCCAAGGTAGCTAAGAGGCGTAAGCTCGCCATACAGTCTCTGAGACTGTTATTCGACACGATTGTTGTTGTAGTCATGCGTTGATGGAATGTCATCGATAACCATCTACATTGTCTGCTTTGCATGAACATTAATAACTGTCCTGAAGGTGTTTCTGGCTTGGGCTACACCTAGCTAAATCCCCCCTAGTCTGATGTAGGTAGCCGAATCAGACTATGGTGAATAAGGCAGGGTTGGTATAACAATACACCGACAAAGTTGTTGGTATAATAAAAAGTAGCAAGATTCTTGTCTGGGATGGATGTTGTAAAACTGATAAGTCGTAAGGTTGTTGACCGTAATATAGGTGGCAGAGGTTCCGGGAACTGGGCGATTAGGTTGCTAATAGGGGTTGCGTAGCGAGGCTATTACCAAAAAAGCCAGGCCATAGAGATGTTGAGGATAAGCGACGAGGCTATAGATGGGGGTTGCACAACAAGACCGTTGCCGGGGACCAAGCATCAGAGGTGCTGAGGGATACACGGTGAGGTTGTAGGTAGGGGTTGCGCAACAAGAACGCTGCTGAGAGCCAGACAGCAGAGGTGTTGAGGGATACGCGGCGAGGCTGCGGGTAGGGGTTGCGCAACAAGACCGCTGCCGAGAGCCAGACAGCGGAGGTGTTGAGGGATACGCGACGAGGCTGCGAGTATGGGTTGCGCAGCAAGACCGCTGCCGAGATCCAGGCAACAAAGATGTTGTGGGGTTGTTGGTAGTAAGGTTGTTGTCGTGATAACCTTCTTGCTGGAGCTAACCTCGCTATAGCAGGATGTAATGTGGAAAATACATTATTAATCATCCGAGCACAAGAGAACCATGATGATTCTGGGAGAAGAAACACCAAAAGCACGATGCTAGGCATGGTATGATGCATGACTTACATTACGCGACGATGTGTGACTTATGTTGTGCGGCTTAGGATAATAGCCTGGTCCTAGCAGTCAGTGATCATGGAGGCGTTACGTGGGAGAGCATCGTGTGTGGATCGGGTTTAGCAGCTAGCGATCGTAGATACATCTCGAGGGGGAGCATCGCGTGGAATCATGTAGGAAAAGATTGCGAGCCTTTGAGCCTTGTTGGCGGAGCATGCCGCTAAAGTCGGGCTGAGAAGCCAAACGACTAAAGGCAAGGATGCTGAACCTTGCAGGAGGAGCTTGCCGCTATAATGGAGTCAGGCTGAGAAGCCAGACGAATCGAGGCAAGGGTGCTGAACCTTACATGTGGAGCTTGCCGCTATAATGGAGTCGAGCTGAGAAG